GCAGGCACAAGGACAGATGCATCCCCAGGACCTGTTTTCATTTTTGACTACATTGCTGCGACACGGCCAACATATTAATCCGCTCTGCTGAGCAGCCGGTCTGTTGATCGTCATCACTAGGGGGAAAACGAGGCCGGGCTCCTCGGTGGCCGGGCGTGTGGCCTCTGGCCGATTACATTTCAATCGATGCCCTTCCCGAAGCTGGGCGGGGTGGCGGCGCCTGGACGCGGCGTCCTTTGTAGACACAGCTGGCGCCGGACCCGCCCGCCGCCCTTGGCTCACCTGCACATGATCTCGTGGGTCAGCAGCACGCGACACATCTCCGGGTTCTTGTCCTGGCCCTCATAGACGATGGCCTGCGTGGGGGACAGAAAGAAGCCGGGGTTAGGCAGCGCCCCGGGCATTGCAGGCCTCGCGGGCGGCAGGTGCACGGCCAGCGATGGGAGGCGTCGCGGTCCACCAAGCCTCCTCCCCACCCGCCACTCCAGAAGTGGAGCCAGGCCCCGGCGGCCTCGCTCTGCCCGCCTCCCGACCTCCTTCCTCCGGCTGTGCGCCGGGCCTGCGCCGGGCCTCGGCTCGGGAGGGCCTCCGGGAGGGGAGTGCAGAGACTGCTGAGGCCCTGGAGCAGGAGGCTAGGCGTGCGGGCACGGACCCGGCGCGGGGCCCTTTGGCTGTTTGTGTTGCCGCCGCCGCCGCCAGGCCGCGTCCTCGGGCCATTGTCTGCACCGAGTTTCAATCTGCACGTGGGAAGAAGCCCGTAAGAATCTGCTGCAACTAAAGACGCGGGGAGGTCTATTGGTCTCAGGGGCAGTTCGCCTCGCGCGGAGAGCCGCGCGGGTTCTGCCTGGCGCGCTCCTCGGACTCGGACCAGGCAGGAGCGGTCAGCTCCCGCGCCGGCCGCTCTCGGACCCGCCGCCCCCGAGACCGCCGGTGGCGGCAGCGGCCTGGGCTGTGCACCCTGGGCGTCTGGCCCCGGGGAGGCAGGACCCAGCCGCCGCACGTGGTCGAGCGGTGCTGGGCGTAGCCGGCGCCCCGCAGGAGGGCCCGAGCCCCGGGCGTCCCAGCCTGCGCGGCCACGTGCTCCTCGCCGGTTGATATTTGGAAAGAAAGTGCTAATGGCCAATCTGGTGTTTATTTTGAAACTGCTAACAATGATTTTTCTCGGGTAAAAAGGCAGTGTCTGCGCGCACGCTCGGGTGGGTTTTGAGCAGAGGCTGCGCCAGATGGTGCAAAGCCCTAGGTGCGCTCACGGCGGCGCCCAGCCCGGCTCCGCCGCCGGAACCCTGCCCGGCCGCCCGCGCCGTCACCCGCCCGGCCGGGCTTCCACTCACCGCCTCCCAGAGAGAAAAGGCTGCTGAAGGAGGGGAGGAGGAGGGGGCTACAAGTTCCGGCAGAAAATTCCACGAAAGGGTTTGGGTTGCCCTCTCTCTGTTCCCTCCCTCCCCCTGGAAATTATCTGTAAATTACTTCCAACCTCTTCCCGCACTCGGACACTCTCCTCGCTACCAACCGGACAAAGCCCTTTCTGGAGGTCGCCCAGGGCGACCCTCCTGGGAAGAGGGTGATGCCGGAGCCCCACTCCCCCAGACTCTAGTCGGACCCGCTCGGGACCAAAGAAGTGATGGGTGTCACCGCAGGCCAACGAGCCGCCTGGGGCTGCAGGGCGCAGTAGCCTCGGTGGGCACCAGCACTTCTGTGAGAATGGCTTGTCCTTCGATGGATCCCTGTATTTATATTTGATTTATTTTTTATTTTGTAGCACAAACAGAAATCCATAAACTGTCGGTTCAGCGCCATTGACTCTTTGATCAGTTACTGGGCTATTTCTTTCCTCCCCCCCCCCACCATCCCCGTCAGTGAGAGGAGATTAAATGCCTTTATTTTCTGCACTGTTTATACTGCAAAGGTACAAGGCTAAATGAACAATAAAAATGTACTCTAAATGAAGCCTCTCCTCCTCTATGCGACAGCAGAGAAACTTAGCACTGCCTACAGAAACCTTCTAATTAGACTACAGCGATTTCCGAAAACATTCAGCCCTAAATACAAAGGAAATAAAAGCAGCATGCAAACAGCAGCCGAGTTCCAGGGGCTTCTCTGAATCCAGTGAAATAATCACCGAAGGGCACACCAAGCGTCTTTGTCAGAAAGCTAGGGTTTACCTGTCAGATCTGTTTTACTCTAAGAAAACCATACTGCTTTACTACTGCAGACATTAAATTCCTACACCCTAGCTGGCTAGGTAAAGACAAACTTTTAAGGGGGAAAAATGCACAAACTAGTTGCATTAAAAGGGAGGGAGGCGTGTGTCAGGCTGCAGGAAGCACCAAGGGGCTCAGTTCCACTTGGCTCACAATTCTTAAAGTTAGCATCAGAAATGAAGAAACCACTTTCACTTCTAAGCATGAAACCCAGCTTGCAAGTATATTTTAATCTTTGCCTAGTGAATTTAATTTATGCATTAGACCTGCCTCGGCAACACTCTATTTTAAGAAAATGGGGGGGGGGGGAATATCTTTAAAACAAAACAACATGCCACCCAGCACAAAACCAGCAGCCAGAGACTGCACAATGTCAAAAAGCAATGAAGCGCTTTTCTGCACTTAATCACATTACTGATAGCCAATAGTTATCATCGGAAAAGTTGACCAAGACAGGTTAAATAATTTAATAAGGAACTGCTTGTAATTATGTTATTTACAAGGTATGACAGAGGGTGGGAGAGGGAGCAGAGCAGTGGATGGGTTTGAGTGACCCCTGGAGCTCGGAGTTTGAATTATGGAGATGGGGGGCTGAGAGGTGAAGATGGGCTAGAGGAGAACAAGGTGACTTTTCACCCCAACACATTTAACTTTTAAATCCAAATAAAGGTCTCGTGTTACTAGACCATCACACTGGAAAAGAGGGRAAAAAAATGAACTAATCAAGCCCAACTTGATAGGCTTTGGAAAGGAGTTAGTTGCCTTTGTTAGAAGGGAAAAAAAAATCAATGAAATGATTCCAAGCAGAGACAGAAACATTTAAAAATAAACAAGGGGGGAGATCCTGAATTTTTTCTGTCAAATATTAATTACCATAATAAATTAAGACAGCATTTGATTCCAATCGCAAGCCATTTAATAAAGCATATATGTCCTGTTCTAATGACAACATAAACTATTTCACCAATCGCTTCATTTATTCCAATAAATATGGAATTCTCATTAGCTTGTCAGGGAAGCTAAATGAAAAACAAATGCAGGAGATCCACTTGTCAGTCTTCTCTCTCTGAACCCCAGGATAACCCCAGCTCAGCAAGGAAACCAAGTGCAGAGGCATAAACTTTCTCACCTGTTTGGTCATTGAATCTATGAGGCGAACATACAGATCCTGCTCTGTTCTGACTCCTGCAAAAAACAGAGACAAATTCTCAACAGGATTTTAGTGCTGCACCTCGGGGAAGGACAGCCAGGCCACAGGAAGTTGGTGCCTCAGGACTGCTGCTCCTGATGSAGCAAAACTTAAGCAATCCCTTCAAGAGGGAGAAAGAGAACTCTAATCACATCTTACAGAATATTTTTTTCCCTTTTCTTAATTTAGAGCCTTAGGACTCTTAGGGTTTGCATTTGAAGGGGCAAGAAATTTGCCTAGTGGAGAACAGGCCTACTTGTCCCATCGGTGGGCCCATGTGGTCATTTATTTTTAGAAAAAAGAAAGCACCCAATGGCTACTGAGAGTCCGAACTCTGTCGAATGCCTCTGGATGATTTTTTAAAGCCGTGCACAGGAAGTAAGTTATGGTCGGTCTATGTAGCTGCCCTATCCCAATAATTAACATTAATTTGCAAAATTGAAAAAAGTCACTTAAAAGTGATGTTCTGCTRGAGCCCATATCGATCCCCTTTTTACTTTCTACTTCAAGCCCCACCGGTTAATCATGTGAAGTGCCATCGACTTATCGATCGTTTATGTTTTGTTTTCCTTCTATGCCATGAGAAGACTTCGTGTTTACATCCATGTCATTTTAATCTCAAAATCTTTATGTCCTGTAACCATCGCGGGAAGGGAGATCCAGCGCGCAGGGGCGGAGAGGGCGGGAAGCAGGCAGCGGGTACTCACCGTTACTGTATAGTAGCTGGAGCTTATAGTGGATACCGTTGTTGGTTTTCTCGTTGTTTGGCTCCTAAAAGCAATGATAAACAATTGCATTTAGTGTGGTGGTGTCAGGCGCCGCCACCGCGCTAGGTCCCCCTCCACGACCAAGGCCCCTCGGCCTCACACAAGGCGGGCAGGATTCCTCGCTCGGAGCAGTGCCGTGATGTCACTTTCCTGCTGGAAGCCCTGCGTTCTCCTCGCCCCGAGTGAGTCCGAGGGCGCAGAGAAGTTGCCCGGCCCTCAGTGGGGCCCGGGCGGCTACACGTGGCGCCAGCGGCGGGGTCGCCKGGCGGAGCGGTCCCACCGCCGAGGGGGCACTCCGGGCCGCGCGCGGGCACAGCCTGCCTCCCACTTCTAGAGAGAGGGAGGGTGTGAGCCTATGCGTGCACTTACTTTCTCTTTCTCCACAAAGTCCACAAAAGCGGTTCTTTCAATCTCCACCGGCTGCCCCTGCCTGTCGTAGAGCGCCAGCACGAAGTGGAAGAAATTGGATTTCCGGAGGTTGGAAGGCGGCTGCTTCTCGAAGTGCGCCCGCGCCAGCCCCACGCCGCTGCGGGAGGAAAGAGACAGCGGCCCGGTGAGGAGCGCGGCGCCGGCCGGCTGCGGGGGCCGGGTCGGGCCGGGGCCGGGGCCGGGGCCGGGGCGCGCGGTGGCGGCCGGTACGTACCTCTGGGCTGCCGTGTTGGCGTCCACCACGCCCGCCGTGTGCATCCAGGAGCGCACCGGGTTCATTCCGCTGCCCAGCGGCTCCTCCTTCATGGTCGTCCCCCCGCGCGGAATATTCTCCTGAATCCCAAACATGAAAACTGCTGGCGGCGGCCGCCGCTCCCGGCCGAAAGCGCTTCCGCGGTCGGCGGCGCTCGGGGCGCGGCGGCAGGCGGCTGCCCTGGCCGCCCTCGCCCTGCTCGGCGCCTGCGGTCCGGCCCGCCGCCGGCTTCAGCCCGTCCCGGGCAGCCGCGACATACACCAGCGGCCGGACGCTCCGGACGGCCGGGGACGCGGAGGTGGCTACACCGGCGGCGGAGGCGCGGCGCTTCGGCGGAGCAGGACGCGGTGGCCGCGGCGGCGGTTGTTGTTGTTGTTGTTTGCAGGCGCGCTCAACGTGGTGTCATCCTAGCCAGGCGGCGTCCGCGGCTGCAGGACACTGCGGGATCGCCCGCTTCTGGCGCGGCCCGCCTGCTCCAAAGACAAATAAACGGGGCAGTGAGTGCCGCGGCGCAGTCCCGGGCGCAGGCGGGGCGCGGCGGGGCCTGGAGCGGCGCGCGCAGCGGACGGAGGCGCACAAAACTCAGCCCTCTCTCCCCGAGGAATGGACCCTTTCCCGGGAGCCAAAACTCGAAGCCCCCGGGAGCGGCGCTGTCAGAGGGTGACGTCGGGGGGCGGCGCTTGCGCCATATATGGGAGCGGCCGCCCCTCGCCGCGCCCCTCGCCGCCGCCGCCGCCGCGCTCGCCGACTGACTGCCTGACGGCGCCGCGAGCCGGCCCGAGCCCAGCGAGCCCCGCGAGCCCTGCCGCCGCCGAGCGCCACCGAGCGCCACCGAGTGCCGCCGCTGCCTCCCCCGGCCACGCGCCGCAGCTCCTCGAGCCCAGCTGCAGCCAAGGAAGTTACTACTCGCCCAAATAAATCTTGAAAAGAAACAAACGCAGTCAGCGCACAATTGCAGCTTAGCCCCCTAATACCTCCCCGCAAAACCTGCCACACAGTCAAAAACACCCTGGGCCAGAGCGGGGAGGCGCCCCAAGTTGCCCGAATGCATGCAATAAATGCAAGATAGAAGCTCGCCCTGGGGGGTCCCAAAGGGAAAAACGCGAAGGGGCTGGTCGACCGCGGGAGGGTAGTACAGGGGAGGGGCGGACAACCGACTAAGGGGGAGAGTGTGGCCAGAGCCAAGGGGAGATAGGCAGCTCAGCCTGATTTCTAAGCAGACCTAAGGCTGCTGCGGGGCCGATCTGTCCCCTTCTGCGCCTCGCGGGCGTCCTGTGCTTCCTACCCCGGCAGAGACCCGGAATCCTCGTCGGAGCCAGGTTCCGCCAAATTCTCCCTCTCCCCCAGTGGCTGAGGGAGTCCCCAGTCCTCGGCCTGTCCTTAAGGCGCAGCGAGTGACAAAGAAGGCTCCAAATTCTCTGGGCCGACGGGAAGAGCCCCCGGCCTCTCCGGCGACCCAGAGCTGGTGTCCGGCTAAGCGCCCTGCGCGGTGGCTAGACCTTCCCGCCGCCAACCACTTTAAAAACAGAGCGGACGCTGCGGCCCTGCCCTCGATGCCGCCGGGCTGGAGTGAACGCGCAGCGCGCGGTTTCCCGACCTGGTTTCGAGGAATCTGTTGGGCAGCCGGGCGCGGGCAGCCGGTGGGCTCCGCGGCCCAGTTCCTTCGGCCAGGACTCCGCGACCGGGCGCGAGGCCTGCCCAAAGGACTTCTGCGGGACGCGAAATAAATACCCAGGGGACTACCAGGAGCTGTCCCGGGCATTTTCCTGCCAAGAGAAATCAGGCCCTTCTGATTAAAAAAAAAAAAAAAAAAAAAAAGCTCTCAGGGCACAAGTGGCAAGTGTCGCAGGACAACCTCTTCCCGCCGGGCCTGGGGTAGTACTCCCCTTTTTCGTGAATTGGCAGCGTGTGTACGTTAATATTTTAATTAATCGGGAAAATCGAAGTCCGATTCACGTTATCTGGGGACCCCCATGCGCCTCTTGGAAGGGGTGAGGGAAAAGATGTGCAGGAAAGCAATCTATTTTGCTGGTGTTGGGGGTTAATGACTATTGCCAAAGATAAGTGAATTATCAAAGCTGTTGCGCCAGTCCCATCTCAAAATCCATTACGGGGCCGGCCGTCTAATTAAATACGTAAGTATAATAAAATCATATTTTATGACTATTTGAGGGTAATGAGATTAGTCTTTAGAAGCGATCGCCACATATTAAAGATGCCACTGTCTATAGAATGTTAATAACCTTAAATCAAAGTGTATGGAAACTATTCACGATAAATTAAAAGAAAATTTCTGTATTACTAATAAGTCCAGCACTTTCTACTCACAGCAGACCAGGGTGTAGAAGGGAACACTTTCTCGGTGGAGGGACAAGGTAGGATAAAGTTGGCCATCAGTGGAGGGCGGGGTTGAGAAATGCTTTGTCTCTGCATGTTTAGAAGCTATGAGGCTCTTGCAGGGAGAGCTGTTATTGTCAGAATATGCAAAGTGTCTTTTAGGGAAAGATGAAGTTGGAAATAGGAAACAATGCTTCTTTTGTAGCACACTTCCTAAAATGTCCAGCCTGGACTGGAGGTGCCCCTTCCTCGGTAAGGAAAGTATCATGCTTAAAATCATTTACAGTATCTTTAATTCAGATTACACGCGCCAAGGCGATTTAAATCTGATTACCAAATTAGAAGGTTTAAAAACAAATCCTTCTAAATCTGATACTGTTGACTAAAGAGGAAAAAAAAAGTTCTATAAGCCCATCACATAAGGTAACGATCCTGCCCCAGAAAGAAAAGGGGTTTTAAACCTTTTTGACAACAAATGCAGCTGCCCCACTATTTTGGACGATATTAAGCGAAAATGAATGCAAATCTGTGCTCAGCAGCCATCTGGCCCGAAATGGGGGAATCAGCTGCTCTCACAACAGGCTCGGAGGCTGAATCCATTTCAGCTCATTTTCTAGATCATCTGGTCCCGTACCCAAAGCGTGGAGAATACGGTCTTTATCATTCACCAACTTTATCTTTTTTGTCACTCCACTGCTGGCTGCGAACTGTGGGCACAGGACTCACCAACCGGGCAGGGTCTCCACCCCGGGCTGCTGCCGAAGTGCCTAGGAGGGCAGCCCCCACCCCCAGCACCATCCCCAGGTTTTCGATTTGATGGGGAACAGGCAGAACCTCCAGGCCCCAGATGGGGGAGGGGGCTACTGGTCAATTCCTTAGAGTCCTGAGAGATGCTGGGAGCGCKTCCCCGCGCCTGCCGCCTCCCGCGGGAGCCCTACCCCGGTTCCTCGCCCTTTCTATTCAACTTGGGGAGCCAAAAACCCAGAAGGGAGAAGTGCAAGGAGATGCGGCTAGTACTTTGGAAGTTACACAGGCCCTCCGCGCCCAGAGATCTGACCTCCGCGCCCAGAGCGCTCCCAGGGGCCAGACGGGCGTCCAGGGGCCCGGCAGGGCGGAGCCTGACCTTTGCGCGGGACCCTGCGGGTCGCGACAGCGGCGGAGACCGCTCCAGGCCCCGCGCCCAACGCGATTTGCACGGGTGGCCCTCGCGCTGCCGCCGCCGCCGCCTCCTCGGAGGGTGGGAAGTATTCCTTTTGTGCGGATTTACGGGGAGAGGCTTCAATGAGCCCCCTCACATTTGCATTTAAATAGCGGCATCAAGCGCTTCGCGTGCCACACACCAGTGGGCTCCCAGATGTCAAGCCGGAGTCAGTCAGATGGCCAGTGCCCAGCTGTCCTCCCCACGTCGTGCCGGAGCAGGCAGTGACCTTAAAGAGACAGCGCCTGCCGCCCCTGGCGCCCGGCTCCCGGGGTGATGTGCGAGACCCAGGGCGCAAAACTAAGGCGACGCGTGAGCCGCTAACCCCTAGAACCACCCGAAGCCTAGGGGAGCTGTCCGACATCCTAGGACCTGAACCCAGGCCCACCTGGCCTCCCTGCCCAGCCACTCAGAGTCTTGTGTTTCGGCCGCCGACTGCGCCTGCACCCGCCGAGGGAAGGCTGTGGGCGCGCGCCGAGGGCATTTCCCTCAACACTTCTTCCAGTGCAAGTCCTGGAGAGAGGGAGCTGACCCAACCACCCCCTCCCAGAAACTTCAGCCAAGTTGGGGGTCCCAGGACCCTCCTAGGAGTCGGGTCTGGCTCAGAGTCCAGGGCACTCTGTGAACGCCCCTTCTTGCTTGCCAAGTGCAGGGCGACCGCCAACCTCCCAGCCATCTTTCCAGAGAGTAATAAACTTCATTTCCGGTGTTGAGGAGCCTCAGCCGGAGATTCCTAGAAGCGGAGTCCCCTGGAGTATCAGAGCGTGCGCGGGTTTAACAGGACGCGGCGCACTCAGAGAGCCCGCGGCCACGGGCCCAATCTGCCTGGCCATGTCGCATGGACCCTTCCGGCAAGTGAGAGAGTCARTGCGCCCAAGGCCGGAGGTTTGTGCCCCCAAAGTCAGTACTGAGTTCCAGCAGCGGCCCACCCCCTTGTCCTCCGAACCAGGAGTCAAGCTCAGAAGGTGCGGGCTCTGGGCCTCACTTCTGCCCTACCCACCCCAAGCTGGGGGGCGGGCACCCGGCACAAATACTGACTGGGAAAGTAACCTGAAAAAGTAGAGCCTACTAACTCTGGCCTTGAGGGAAGGTGGTTTGAGAGGCAGGGAGAGACACACCTAGAAAATTCCGTGAACTGCAGAATAGGAAGGAACCCATACACACTGGCAAACCCGTTCCCCAAGGGTAGGTGAGGTGGCCCCTGAGTGCTCCCCAGACTCTACTTTGCGCAACRGGATCACGCTAGTCTGTGGGCCAGGAAAGACAGCAAGCAAGGGCTCAGTACATGGGCCACCCCAACCTGTTAAGCTGAGCGCAAAGGGGAACTGGCCCAGGTTCTGGTGGGTTTTCAGGGCTCAGAGAACATCTCTTCTCTCTCTTCGAGGAAACCGATGCCACGGGCTCTCAGGAGGCACTTGGTGACAGAGCCCAAACCAGGCCATGCGTCCTGCCTACCCTCGAAGGCAAACAACTGGGCATGTTGTTCCTGGCATATGGAACGCACAAACCATCCCTTCTTCCAGCACTAGAAGGTTGGAAGCCTGGTAGAGTTCACCAATAAAAGGCGAAAACTGAAGGGTCGAAGATTCCTGTTATCTGCACTGCTCCTTCCCCCAATATTTACTC